TGCTAAGGCCATGCAAAGTCCAGGTTTCTTAAACCAGCTTGTACAACAGCAAAATGAAAGCAACAGCCACATGACTCGAGCAAACAAGAAGAGGAGACTCCGTAGGCAGGATGAAGAAAATTTAACTTGTGAAAATGGTGCCATATCTCCAAATGGGAAGATTGTGAAGTTCCAGCCTTTGCTGAATGAGACAGCAAAGACTATGCTGCATCATGTGTTGCAGATGAACACATCTCCTTGGCTGGAACCTGGTGCTTTGATGACTGATGGCGTTTCTCCTTCCAGTGCATTAGACAGCAGGTGCTCCTCCAGTCAGATTTCGGGGACTACTCTTTCCAAAGACCCACCATCTTCTAGGCGTCTTATTTGCGAGCAGAATCAGCAATTCCCAACACTAGTCTGTCAACTGCCGCTCATTTAATATGAGTATCCGAAGGTGGATCAAATTTCTAAGACCAGTGTGCATAAATCACAGAAAGATGCAGTTATTGAAATGGTTCCTCAAATGCAAGGAACTGTACCTGATAACATTGTAGGGCCTGAGAGCAGGAATGCAGATTATCTTGATCCAGTGTCGGCTGTCTTGAATGGTACAATGCCTGTAGAAGCATGTGACTTTTCTGCTGATCAAGATATGGACACCATGCTTGATGGAAGCCCTGAGCTTCCAGCTATTAATGATGTTTTCTGGGATCAGTTTCTTACACGAAGTCCACTCACCGGTTACACAGATGAAATTAACACCATTTCCCTGGAAAATGGGCATATGGATCATATTTCTGAACAAATGGGCCTTATATCAAATAGCATGATGGGGTAGTACCCCACAAATATTATACAAATATTTCTTGCTCTTATGAGGTAAATCTTTTAACCAACTATTCCCCTAAGTTGACGAGTGATACTAACAAGAAACTATTTTATTATTTTGTCAAAGAGACTTTTGTTGTTAAAAGCGTTGTTATTTTACATGCTAGATATTACATGCACTAAGAACACAAAATAGTATTCTTTTTTTTCCTGTGTTGGTTGATTTTTTTATATTGTACAAAATAGTGTGTGAGATATAATATATATAGGTATACATATAAGTGAATATGTAATTATAATTTTTAATTTGTAGTCATAATAAAAGAAAAAGAAAAGAAAGTAAAAGATGGGATCAATTTACGGTCTTCGAGTGATGCCAAGCGATTATATTCATTATAAAATTTATTTAGTAAATTATATAATTATTAACATAAAATATTTTCGATATTTTATTTTAATCATCTTTTAACAGTAAATAAGCGAATAGGTTGGTTTAGCCTCAGCCGATTTTTGGAAGTATTTTGAAAAACTATAGGACTACAAGTCCTCTACAACAATTAACCATAAAATATTAATTATAACATTATAAATAAATAAAATAAGGGTAAATTACTTGTTTAGTACTTAAATTATCAATTTTGGTCCATTTTAATACCTAAACTTTTAATTTTTTAAAATAATACATAATATTTAGTTTTTGTTTTATTTTAGTACTCGTCGTTAAAAAAATTAACGTGTTTAGTACCTAAACTATCAATTTTGGTACCTAAACTTCCCCCCCCCAAACTTAAGTATGGTTTAGGTACCTAAACTTTTAACTTTTTAAATACTTAAGTTTTGGTACTAAAAATGAAACAAATACTAAACTTTAGGTACGATTTTGAAAAAATTGAAAGCTTAGGTATTAAAACATATTAAAACTGATAGTTTAAGTACTAAATGCATAGTTTACCCATAAAATAAAACGGAAATAACAACAATATTTCTTCAAATCATTAATATATGGCCTGGCTTAAAAGTTAAAACAACCACGCTTCTTAAATGCATGAAAACTTCTAAAAACCCTCAACGGTTGCTTCAAAACGACACAGTTTCACTAAACTAATATCAAAATAACACAGGTTTGTTATTGTCTACCCCGTAACATCTTCAACGTTGGAACTTCTCTCTCAGGGAACAAACAAAAACACTTTGATTTCCTTTAAATTTTGCTGGAAACAAGGAAGCCAGGAAAAAAAAGAGAATATATTTTTCCTGCGAAGAAAGGTTCGATCTTTTTTCCATAAACGGAATTCATGGAGGTTAGTGTAATTTTTATGATTTTCTCTTTTTCCGATATCGTGTTTGGTTGCCAAGAAAGTTGATGACAAATTGTTTTTCCCTATCTCGTTAGAGAAGAGAATGTTTGGAGCTTTTTTAAAAAAACTATTTGAGGCCCCATTTATCATAAGGATATTGTCTAACCTAAGTATAGCGTTCTGCACTCTGCAGCCATTGTTATGCATTTCAATTTTCTTCTCATTTCATTATATAGTACTGTCATTCTCTACTTCTTATCAATTATATATAACGTTGTACATCTTTATATTAATGTTTTTTGTGCGTGACAAAAAGATTTCGAATTATATATCTGTATCGGATTTGTGCAAACATGAAACGGATCTGTTTGATTCCATTTCGTCGAGCGTGTATGATGATATGCTAATTGGAAATTCATTGGGTGGATAAAGGAAAATTGCTTAAACTAATGCTTCCTGTAAAATAATTTAGAAGGTTTACAGAATTTAACTCGTGCTAAGGCTTCCATAATTTGAATTTAATAATTATGTATGTTTGCATGCCAGCTTGTGCTAGGGAATTTTGCTTTTGATTTAGCCATGTTTTCTCGGTGAAAATGATTGTAACAATGGGGGCTAAAGTGTACTGTTATCTTAACTTTTCATATTCGGATATGTATTTAAGAATACAATCCTCCAACTACACACATATATATATTTTATAAAAATTTGACAGGCATCTGTATCCGGCATTTACACCCAAATCCGAATAATATGGTCTACAAGTTTTTTTTAACAGATCCGATCAGTGAAAGTGAGCAACGTCTCCTTGAGAGCATCTGAGAACGATATTAACGAGTTCTTTATCTTCTCCGGTGAAATCGAATACGTTGAATTTTGAAATGCATGTGTTAGTCATTATCATGAGATGTTTAAATTTCATTGACTCTTTTTTATTCACATCCTCTTCTCCACTATTGGATACAAAGAAAAAAAAGTAAGAAAATTGTTGGAATCACTTCTCATGCCTTGTGATTCATGTAATTGTTCCAGTATAGTGATGTTCCAAAATGTTCTGAACAGTTTCTTGTTGAGGTTTCTTATTGCTTTCGTCTATTTTCTTTCAGTAATAATGAGCGATAACAAGTTGCATACATTACTTTCAAGGATTCACGGGGAGCAGAGACTGCAGTTCTTCTTTCAGTATGAACCTGTCTCATTTCTTATGTCTGATGTGCTTATGAAAGCCACACACTGTATTGCATTGCCTGTGGGATCATACCTTCATAGCCCATACACATGCTTGAATGCGTAGGACATACAATATAGGACACGACATAAATACTTAAAGGAAAATGAAGAGTCGGAGTACACAGGTTTAAAGTATTTTTATTTCATTCTTATTAATTCGGAATACATGGTTTTCTTCAGGGGGCAACGATTGTCGATCAGTCTGTTATGGTAGAGCTGGCTCCGGATTACAAGCATCCTGATAATGCTTGTACAACACCGGTAGGACATTACTTTAATCCACTTTGGTTTCACTTACTAATTCATGATTTTTTTATGTGAAAGAATTGTTTGATCACTTTAGGCAACAGGGAACAATACGGGCCAGGGAGAAGAACGTTTAAAGAAGGCAGAGGATGTTGTTAGCACAATGCTAGCCAAGAGATTCATTGTTGGCAAAGATGCATTGAGCAAAGCAAAGGCCTTCGATGAGAAGCATCGAGTCACTTCGACTGCCTCTGCCAAGATCAGAAGGTTGGTTTTTCTGAGAAATTTAGTACTGGCAAAACCGTGGTAAATGAGAAAATGAGGGAGGTGGACCAGAAGTATCAGGTTTCTATGAAGTCTAAGTCCGCATTGGAAGCTGCGGAGCAGTCCGTCAGCACTGACAAATCTTCCGCCATGAAGAACCGTTATGTTTTTGCTGGAGCCGCATGGTTTACTGCTGCATACAAAAGGGTTGCTAAAGCAGCAGAAGATGTGGGGCAGAAGACGAGGGAAAAGGTTTTGGCTGAGGAAAAAGGTCAGAAACCAGAGGGTCATGCACACGCCAACGCGTCTAGTTCTCCCAGAGCTGCTAAACACGAAACCAGCGAGTAACCTTCCGATCCCTGGCCCGGACCAGGTTTACTCCTTCTCGATGGTGCAGGAAAATAGAAGGATAATAGTTCATTGGTTTACTTGTTAAGAAAGATAAAAAAAATGGAAAGTAATTTTTCCATCAATTATTTAGTAAAGTTTAAAAGTGCGAGAAAAGAAAATGAATTTTACTACTATACGTGTTTATTAAAAATATTCCTTTCTCATTTCATATATGATGAATATTTTAATTAATACGTACTATTTGTTTCAAATATTTGGGAATTTAGTACAAATTGATTGTATATATTAATATATATATATATATATATGATTAGGGACTAACTTTTAAAGTTCTATTTTAGAGGATCAACTTTTAAAATTTTAAGAGAGTGAAATTATAAAAATTTTGGGACGAAAATAAATTATTAATAAAAAATATAAAGAAAATATTTAAAATATATTATAATTTAAATTTTTCATTTTGTCTTTCTTAATCTATCCATATCTATAACTTATATTCACCTAAATTTAAATAACATATATTTTATATTTTTATTTAAAATTGTAATTGGTACGACCGAAACATATGTTAATTTAAGGTTTTTATTTTAAATCAAATATTGAACCGATAAAAATTGACGAATTTTAGATATAAATTTGTGTGTTAAGCCATCTCAAAAGTTTTGTAGAGTAATATAGTCGGTTCAACCGGGTTCCGGTTCAAATCAAAGAAAAAACAAATTAAAAAAGCTTCCTGAAGAAGCCGCCATTCCAATTTCAACACCTATACTACAAATACAAACCCTACTAAAACCCCGTCTGTCTTTGGCCTTTACCCTGTCATATTTTTTTTTCTTTAGCGGACGGAGAGAATTTATCTGAAATTTCTTGCCCTTCAAGCCAATTAATTATAACAAATACGCTTAAAAGTCAAAACCCAAAACCCATTCCATCCCCCTTTTTTTGTGTTCAAAAGAAAATGGCAAAACCATACACAATGGGACTAAGCTCAGTTTTTGCTGCAGCCTCCGCTGCTGCTGCTTCTGCTTCTATTTTGCCCCAAGCTAATAGCAACGCCGCTTTTGCTGATGGACCCTTCGATATTAATTCTATTTCTTCTTCTGGTTCTCCCCAGTCTTCTCCTGCGCAATTGCAATCACAGCCGTCTGCTCAGCCAGCAGCTGCTGCTGATAAGGAGACTTCTGGGAATGTTAGGGTTAGGAATGATAATCCGAGGACGTCTTCGTCTGGGTTTGATCCTGAGGCTTTGGAGAGAGGAGCCAAGGCCTTGAGGGAAATCAGCAGCTCCTCTAATGCCAAAAAGGTTTCTTCAGATTTTGATTCCAAAATACTTATATATATAAGATGGTTGTTTTAGAGGTTTGATTTGAACGGATTTTGGGATTTATTTAAAGCTCATGTAAGCTTTGTGTTTTTTTTATTGTCTAGTTGCTTTGTCAATTGGTTTGGTTTTTTATTTTTTGAGTCTACGATGAGAACTGCCTTATTTAACTTGTACATTTCCTGTAATATCTTTATTCATTTTGTTGAAGTGGTGAAATTTTGATTCTAATGGCTTGTTGTTATTGTTGTTGTAGACTTTTGAACTAAAGAAGCAAGAAGAGACAAGTCAGGCCGAGTTGGCCGAAAGAGCTGCAGAGTTTAAGGCAATGCAAGCCCAAGCTGAAACTGTAAGATCTCTTCGGAATTTCTCTCGTCATCTTTGTACCTTAATGGTCAATCACTTATGTATTTGTTGGTTCAAAGATTAAGTTTGAATTTGCAAACTGTTCCTTAATAACATCAAAGTCAATATGATCGTTTTATATTGTGCTATGCTGAAGCTAGTTTTTAATACATATTTTTCCTGAGTGGATCATGACATCAGCTATGGAACTTTTTGTACTACATTGCGGTCTTTTACTCTTTTTTGTGTGATTAAGTGAAGTCTGTATTTTAAGGCTAACACTTGATTTTCTACTTGTCGGCAAATTGTTTCCTTATTTATTAACAAACAGAAATTTATTTATACTTAATGGCGTTTGGGAGGTATGACATTTGGTCCTTTAATATTAAGGTTTATCAGGTACTGGAAACACAATGTTCTAGATTTTGTGTTTCCTGTTTATTTTCTGACTTTTTTATCCAAATGTCATGTTGCATATGGAACCCTGTTGTGGTGATGCCATTTTTCTTGGTTTTTAAATACTTGCTTGCTTGTTGGGCAGGAGAGACAAAGGGTCATATATGATGAACAGAAGAAGTTAACTCAGCATCAAGCCCAGACGAAGTCACAGATGGCTCGATATGAGGATGAGTTGGCAAGGAAGAGGATGCAGGCATGTCGTGTTGGCCCTTTCTCAATCACGAAATTGTTACCATATATTAACATTTATGGAAAATAGTATAAACGTGTTAAGTTACTGTAGGCAGAAAATGAACACCAAAGATCAAGGAATCAAGAGCTAGTAAAACTGCAGGAGGAATCAGCAATTAGACAGGAGCAGGCTCGACGAGCTACAGAAGAACAAATTCAGGCACAGCTGCGACAAACAGAGAGGGAAAAAGCTGATATCGAACGTGAAACTATCCGAGTGAGAGCTATGGCCGAAGCAGAAGGAAGAGCTCATGAAGCAAAGCTTGCTGAAGAAGTTAATCGGCGCATGCTCATAGATCGTGCAAACGCAGAAAGAGAGAAGTGGGTTGCTGCAATAAATACTACTTTTGACCATATTGGAGGTAACAATTCAATTACATGCACTCAATCATTGTAGAAAGTTTTAAATAGCTAGATTTAGAATACGACATTCTCATTTTAATATTTTTGTCAAAAGAGCTGTAACTTTAAAAGATAGTCCATCTGTTATGGAGGGAAAAGGAGGCAGATGCCATTCTCTGTCTGGTCTAGTTTCTGTATGATCTAGACCTAGTAAATAAAAATAGTGGCACTGATCGACCTGTTGCTTCTATGTTTAGGGTGGTTGTAATAACTACAATCAGATTATTTATTTCTTTATTTAATAATTTATTATTCTACTGGCCTGACAAAGAATTTCTGCTGGATTTTGACTTTTTAATATTTTTGAAGTCCCGTTTGTTTATCTTTTAATGGTTAATGTGTGGCTTAATGTGGAACATGTTTGTCCTTTCTAGGTGGCTTGCGAGCCATTTTGACAGATCAAAACAAGCTGGTTGTGGCTGTTGGGGGGGTGACTGCTCTTGCAGCAGGAGTCTACACCACCAGGTAAACGATGGATTTTATTTGAAGATTTATAGTTTCCCTGACTTCTAGTATATAAGTGTTTGACGAAGTTAGAGTCCACTGGTGTGCATCATTTTATTTCTTTATCAGAATTTGGCACTGCTGTATTTGTCACAATTGTGAGGGTAGTTTCTTATACATTTCACACTTCTCTGACACAGAGAAGGTGCAAGGGTGATTTGGGGCTATGTGGATAGAATACTGGGACAACCATCACTTATCAGAGAATCTTCCAGAGGAAAATATCCTTGGTCCGACATGCTTACAAGGTCTATGAGCACTCTATCTCGCAGTGGCGATAAGGTATCACCTTCAAAAGCTGGAAATGGCTTTGGTAATGTGATTTTACATCCTTCTCTTCAAAAAAGAATTCAGCAGCTAGCTGGTGCAACTGCCAATACAAAGGCCCACCAAGCACCATTTAGGAATATGCTTTTCTATGGCCCTCCAGGAACAGGAAAAACGATGGCTGCAAGAGAACTGGCTACTAAATCTGTATGAGCTCTTATATTTCCGTTTTGCCATTTATTGCTAGCAACTTATATATCTTTGTTTTGCAAAAGTTCATTTCTTCTTTACGAAGAAATGCTAAATTTTATCCGAAGAATGCATACTTCGGTTATTTGACTATCTTTTGGATTCTGTTTCTTCAGAATGTTAATAGTTTGGGTGTGTATTCAATTGCATTGATAGTCATGCAAGCTCTGAAACATCTCAATTGTTGATTATGAACTTATAAGCATCTATGTGTAATTATGGAAATGAAAAAGGGGGAGTTTTCTTTCTCTCTCGGACAATGCCTGATTTGTTGGTTTCGAATGCTTGAATGCTGCACTTCAATAATTCACGACGAACGTTCGAAATCTGGTTCTTTTTATATATTTATTTCATTCTATTATACTTTTGTATTAATCTTCAGGGGTTAGATTATGCATTGATGACGGGTGGAGATGTTGCTCCACTCGGAGCACAAGCGGTTACCAAGATACACCAGTTATTTGACTGGGCAAAGAATTCCAAGAGGGGCTTGTTGCTGTTCATCGATGAAGCGGATGCATTTTTGTGCGAGTAAGTGAAACCATGTAGTTCCTAGTGATGAATGATTTTAAAGTTGGGCAAATATATACATGTAGGATTTGATCAAGATGTTATGTTGTGTATCATTTTACCTTTCCTTTTGTTGATCAGGCATCAGTAACTTGTCGACTTGTTTCACTTCTAATCATGATGTCTCAAGGAGCTTAAGTTTTCTTATAACTTGAAAATTTCTTTTGCATGATAGAAAAATAAAAGATTTGTTCTAAACAATCAACCCTGACAGGAGTTAGTCTGTGCTAACAATTTACTAAATTAGAATTCTTGAATGAAACATTGCTCTGATTTGATTGATTATTTGAAAGGCGTAGCTTTGAATATTGATTTTTTGAGTCCTGACTCTTTTGCAGACGTAACAAAAACTACATGAGCGAAGCTCAAAGAAGTGCACTCAATGCCCTTCTTTTCCGCACAGGTGATCAGTCCAAGGACATAGTCCTTGCCCTTGCTACAAATCGTCCTGGTGATCTTGATTCAGCTGTCGCTGATCGTATTGATGAAGTATTGGAATTTCCTTTGCCCGGGGAAGACGAACGCTTCAAGCTAGTAAAGCTCTATCTAGACAAGTACATAGCTCAGGCTGGCTCGAGAAAACCTGGTGTGATTCAGAATATCCTCAAAAAGCAGCAGCAGAAGAAGATCGATATCAAGGGACTGACTGATGATATCTTAAGAGAAGCCGCCACTAAAACCGAAGGATTTTCCGGAAGGGAAATAGCCAAACTGATGGCTAGTGTTCAAGCGGCTGTTTATGGAAGTGAGAATTGTGTGCTTGACCCAACCCTATTTCGTGAAGTGATGGATTATAAGGTTGCAGAACATCAACAAAGAAGAAAACTGGCGGCTGCCGATGCAGGTCAGGTTTGATTTATTTTCAAGTTCTGTTCGTTGAATTCACAGAGGTGGCAAATTTTGGCTATAACTGTTTAACCAGTTAAATGACCCTATTTTTTGAGTTTAGGGCAAAACGTTGTCATTAATCTCCTTTTTTTTGAAGGAATTGTCATTAATCTCTTTATTTGATGAAGGTTGGTACTTCTGAAAGAGAATATATATTTACTCGAGGCAAATAAGAAAATAAATTTTACTCGATTCAAATATGGAAGAACTCAGTTTATTTTTGTTGGATCACAAACCGGATTTTCTTGTGTCCAAAAAATTGCAGAAATAATAGATTATACAATTCAAAGATGAAAATTATTTGATATGAAAGTTATATAAAATTTAGATTTCACAATCTTGTCTATTTTAATTTATGTTACTAAAATTTAGATGTAAGTGCCGGATACGAGTGTATTCAACACATGCATCATAGGAAAGAAATAAGAAAATAACTCAAGCTTGGTAATTAAAGATATCGACATTGTTATACAACTGGAAAATTAGACCACATGGGTTCGAATTTACTTTGGAAATATCTTCTCAAACGAGAACTTCAAACACTTATTATGTGAAAAAGAAGGGGGGGGGGAACTATCACAGTAACATGGGTACAACGAATTTGTTACCAACTGAAACAGAGAAAACCGCCCATAAATGCTGCAAAATAACATATATCCCAACAGCCTGAGAAAAACATAACAGCAGTTCTAGTGATGATGCTCCTGAACATAACAGCAGTTCTAGTGATGATGCTCCTGAACATAACGCAGGCCACAATACTTGCACACAGTGGACTCTTTCAAGTCGAGGCATATGAATTCAATTGGGTGTTCCAGTGCAGGGTTATTGTCTAAAACCAACAAACACCAGGATAACTTGGGTATCAGCAAAAAGATTCGAGCAACATTATGTACAGATCTTAGCCAATTCGCTCATTTTTATAAAATATGATTTTAGGTTTAATTCATCTACTAATCACGTTGTTCACAAAAAAGTGATGGGAAATAAGGATAAGGACTAACCTCCTTCACAAGCAACAATCCGGCCTTCAACCTTGATGGGAGGGACCTCATTGATCAACTCCATAGGATATTTCTTGCTTGTATCCTGCAAATTCGGTGTTAAAAAAAAACTAAATTTCTTCATTTCATTGCCCTCTTATACTTCAGGAGGCAAAGGCCATTAATGTAATGATCATGTTATGTATAAGACATGTACTATGGTATTGGACTTCACTTAACCCTAACAGTCATGCTAACACCACATCCCTCGTGTCTATGTAACAAGGCATTCATGCACGGAGATAAAGAAACAGGCAGTATAATCAAGGCTGCTCAATAATTGAAAAGTCAGTGGGAAACAAAGACCACATATGTAAAACTAGAAAGAAAACATATGCAAAACATTCTACTTTGTTTATAAACATGTCATCAACGCTTAAAGGCCGCTTCGCCTGCTTAGATTGTTTCAAGCATTGGTATTCAGCCATCACTTTCGATAATTCAGATTACCAAACAACAGGACATAGAACACTTGACAAACAAACACAGATAGACTGGGAAAAATGGATTTTTTCAAGTAAATATTAAAAGGGTTCCAAACCTTCAATATACTCAATTTACAGAATTAAGCACCAAAAACAAAAAAAATATAACGACCAAATAACAAAACAGACAATATTTTCCACATTTTAGTAAAACTTAAAGAAAAGGGGGGGGGACTTATTTATTCTTATCCGATAACTGAAATTTGCGCTTGTTAGCAGAAATCAACGAAGTCGAACATATTATCAAGTCGAGAGCCTAATAACTGAATTCAGATTCCACGAGAAGGTTAAAAAACAGAAAGAAATATCAATTGACGTTATTCTAATATTCATTTCTTTATAATAGTTTCAATAAAAAGCTATAAAAGACATGAAAAGAAAACATCAATATTCCACAAAATTTCAGTAGAAAATGAAACGAAAAAGGTGAATATATGAGATTAAGTACCTGCATCCATTTCGCAGTGTGATTGCTAATTTGGGTGCTAACAAGGCTGAAATTACGAGTCGTAGATCCCAAACACGATGAACTGATTAGGGTTTTCAGAACACCCGAATACGCCATTTTTTTGGGGAAAAAAACTTTTTTCCTCGGTAATGCAGTTCAAAGCTCGGATGGGCGAATTCGATAGATATCCTTTTAGTTAAAGAGCCTTCACGCGAAGATCATTGGGCTCAGTCTTTGTGGATTGATGCTTGGTCCAGTTTAAACACCCAAAATAGTAAAAGGTAAAGCATATAGGAGATCACTAAATTATTCAAAAATAAAATAAAATTGATCACTAAACTTTAAAAATTATAAAATAAATATTTAAATTAATAAAATATTAAAAATGGTTAATTTTGGTAATATTCAATAATTATTTTGTAAATGATCGATAAATTTAATAATTGTTTTATAATTTTTAAAAAATTAATAATTAAAATTAATATTTAGTTATTTTTATAATTTATTTAATATTAAAAAAAACAAAGTCAGATTATTGTTTCCCAATTTCAGAAGATTTTTATATCCAAAAATATAATATTCTAGGTAAAAACAATATTTTGATAACTGATTATAAATTAAGTGATAATATATATAGTTGTCCTTCCGGTTCCTAAGGTCTCGTCCTGACTAATCCGGACCGATTCAGGTTGCACACCTGACTTTGGTGAGTGAGGCCCCTAGTGGGGATTTTTCGCATACACAAAAACTCAAACTTGAGACATACTTAAGTGATATCAAACTACTTACCACTTGAATCAATTCCGTTGGTTAATAATAAATTTATATTTACGTATATCAGATTTGTATTTAATATTTATATGTATAAGATTAGTCATTATTTTTAAAAACATTTGAATTTTTCATAAATGAATAAATAATCATTGGTTCCTTATAAAAAAATTTAGTCCCCGTTCTTCAATGTTTTTCAAGAGTGATTCTGGGAATATATAACTTCTTAGTTCAAAAGTGATTTTTAATTTGACTATATTAAGTATCTTTTTATATTAATTTCTAACGCTCAACTTTTAAATAAAACAATCTAAAAACAACATTTTAAAATCACTTTTAAACAATATTCTATTGTTATATTTTCTAAAAGTATGGTCAAACTGTCGGAAACTTTACGTATACATACTCAGTTATATATTGTTGTGCGGTTATAAGTTAACATCACTTGAAAACAAGGACTAAACATTGATTATCTACCAAGTATTAGAATCGCAACTAACGAGAATGACCTCACCATTTCCCACATAAACAAACAAAAATACCTATGTATGCTCTTATGTCATCACCAAGTCCAATCATACTCAACCTTTACTTTTTCACATAAAATAAATTAGTAAATAAACTGTTCGCTTGCTAACGCCAGACTATTTACATTAGACTCCGGTTTTACATGCTAAGCATATAGTTTACTTTTTAATAGTTTCCATGGCTAGTGAATTGGAAAAGCAGCTTCACTTTGTGGTGTTTCCCTTCATGGCTCAAGGCCATATGACTCCCATGATCGACATAGCTAGATTGCTGGCACAACGAGGTGTCGTCATAACCATCGTTACAACGCCTCGCAACTCTGATTGATTCCGAGCAATCCTTGATCATGCCGTGAAATCGGGGATCTCGATCCGAATTCTCATTTCCGTGCGCCGAATTCGGATTGCCGGAAGGGTGTGAGAGCTTCGACATGCTGCCTTCCTTTAGCTTAGCCTTGGATTTCTTCCAAGCAGCCAACACGCTAGAAAAGCCGGTCCAAAAACTGTTCCTTGAGCTAACCTCACGACCTAGCTGCATCATATCCGATGTCTTGTTTACATACACACTCAGCCTTGCCGATCAGTTTCGGGTGCCGAGGATTGTGTTCCTTGGAGTATGTTGCTTTTTCCTTCATTGTCTCCGTTGTTTACGCGTCTCCAACATTGTCGACCACGTAACTTCGGAGACAGAGTACTTCGTTCTGCCTAACATGCCTGACAAAGTTGAATTCACTAAATTACAGCTCCCACAAGTTTTGTATTAAAACCTCAAGGAATTTTTCGAGGAAAGGAAGAAGGCGGATCAAGACGCATTCGGCGTCATCGTCAACACTTTCGAAGAGATGGAGCCTGCATACGCTAATGAATTCAAGAAGACAAGGATGGACAAAGTATGGTGCATCGGTCCGGTTTCTCTATGTAACAAGGATGCTATTGAAAAAGCTCAGAGAGGCAACAAGGGCTTGGTTGATGAACAAAAACATTTGTTAAGATGGCTTGATTCTCAAGAAACAGGTAGTGTCATCTATGCTTGTTTGGGAAGCCTATCGAATGTGATACCTTCGCAATCGATAGAGCTCGGTTTAGGCTTAGAGGCATCAAAATAAACCGTTTATTTGGGTCATAAGAGGAAGTGATGAATCAAATGAAGTAGGGCAATGGATTTCAGTGGACGGTTTCGAGGAAAGAACAAAAGGAAGAGGCCTAGTGGTCCGGGTTTGGGCACCGCAAGTACAAATACTGTCGCATCCGGCCATCGGAGGCTTCTTAACGCATTTCGGTTGGAACTCGATGATGGAAGGCATCTCGGCGGGAGTGACTTTGATAACTTGGTCGCTATTCGCGGATCAATTTGATAACGAGAAACTGGCTGTACAAACACTTAGAATCGGAGTTTAAGGGTGGGAGTGGAGGAGCCTATGAGGTGGGCAGAGGAAGAGAAAATTGGAGTTTTAGTGAAGAAAGAATATGTTAAAGAAGCTATTGAGAAGCTAATGGATGAACAAGAGAGAAGAAAGAGAGCCAAGAAACTTGGAGAAATGGCAAAGAAAGCTGTTGAGATAGGGGGATCTGCTCACCTTAAAATTACACGGTTAATCCAAGTTATCAGGAAAAAGAGTTATGATATGAAGCAAACCAGCTCTTGAGACCAAGCACCAACCTCACATCTCTTTTCTAATGTTGATATTTGTTGAATTTATACGCTTGTTTTGATGTAAAAAAATGTTAATTTTATAATAAATAAAACCTTTATATATATATATATATATATATATATTATTATGTAGAGGATATTACATTTATAAAACATGATCATACTTAACTACTCGGACAATCAACAGATATTTGTTTACTATCATTTTTTATGTTAAATTACAATGTTCTTTAAACAAAATTAAATGATAAACGAAATTTTAACTCTAATTTGATTAATTGATGGGTCTATTAAAATAAAATTTTATAAATTAATTTATAAAATTAAAAGTAACACTGAATTGAACATCGATGAATTTAAGAAAGTCAATTTTATAACTATATTACTACTATAGATACATGTTTACACAATTTTATTTAAAAAACTAAATAAAAATGACATATAATCTCTTTAAACATAATCATTAACTAAAATTTAAATATAACATTTACATTTTCGTACGTAGGATTAGTATTAAAAAAGTATAATTGCACTCTCAAATAAACAAGGTGTCGTGGTGTAGTCGGTTATCACGTCAGTCTAACACACTGAAGGTCTCCGGTTCGAGTCCGGGCGACGCCAGTGATTTAGTCTTTTAAACTTCTTTTCCTTCTTACAAGAAGGATAAAAGAAAAAAGCTCACACCGTTATCAGATCGAACTCTAGTAACAGAGGGCGTGAACATTTTCCAATTACCGCTATACTAGAACAACTTTACTTACAAAAAAATTTATTGCTGCTCTAAAGAATGCATTAATACGTGCAGGGTAATAGATAAGAGCTGGATCAAAAAAAAAAAAAACTCAACTCCATGCTCTGATACGAGCATGAGAAATTTTGAACAACAAAAAATCTAAATCTAAAGATAATCTAATTCGAAGCCATCCGTTTACCGCCTCCATGTACTGTATATTTAACGATTATGATATTAAGAAGATGTATATTTTGTTGAGATCCAATATTGGACTTTAATTATTTTTATGTAAAAATAGATTTTAATAATTTTCTATTTATGCCACTTATAAATATATATATATATATATATATATATATATATATATATATATATATATTATTTTATAATAATTAACATGTTGAACATGAAAACTAGGAATATTTTATGCTTGGTGAAAAGAATTCAAGACTCTTGTGATCTGGCGGAACAAGTTAACATCCCTTACATTTTCACAGAGGGGAATAAATTTGTAGATAAATTACAAAAGTTAATCGTATGATCTCATCACTATTTGAATATCTTCTAATACCCTTAGACACTTTTCGACTAATATCCTTTCCCCTTACTGCTTCGTGCTTGCAATGAACGTACTTTCTAAAATGCTCAATCGCCTATCACCCAAAATGCAAGAGAATCGGGCTTACTCATCTCTCATTTGCTGACGACCTATTGATTTTCTGTAAAGGAAACGTTGATTCTGTGGTAGGGGTCTTGAGTGTTCTTCACCAATTCTATCAAATTTCAGAACTGAATTTAAACTCGACCAAATGCGAACTCTTCTCTTTTGGTATTTCTTCTACGGTTCTAGAGGAGCTGAAAAACATTTCTGGATTTAAAATGGGATGTCTGCCTGTCAGATATCTTGGAATCCCTCTAATTACCCGTAAGCTATCTTTAAAGGACTGTGAACCCTTGCTCGATAAAATTAGACAAAGATTACATCATTGGTCTGCTAGATCTTAGTTATGCAGGTAGACTCGAACTAATCAGATAAATTCTTTTCAGTGTTAGCAACTTCTAGTGTAGACAATTAATCTTACCAGCTTCTGTCTTAAAATATGTGGATCAACTGTGCTCAAAGTTTTCTTGGAAAGGGGCAGACAAATCGGCAGCAGGAGCAAGAGTAAGTTTGGAACATATCTGTTTTTCTAAGTCTGAAGGTGGTTTAGAGCTGAAAAATATTTCCATTTGGAACAGAGCTTGCATTATTAGTCTCATAAGGAAGATTCTTGCAGGAGACAGTTCACTTTGGGTTGCTTGGCTCAATCACTATGTATTTAAACAGCAAAATTTTTGGCAGTTTGAAGCTGGGAAATCTATCAGCTGGAGTACTAGCAGAATCCTCAAAATGAGGACCACTGCTTATTCTCTTCTATCTTCAGGATCCCTACAGACCAAGGAAATCTGGGACAAAATTCGGTTGCAACGACAGAAAGT